GCTGCCAGCTGTCCACGTGTCCCCCGCATTCAATGTAGTCCATGTGATTCCAATAGTCAATACTTAGCGCTCTTTGTAGTTACGTGAAGATCAGACGCGTCGTCCCAAAGACCGGACATGCCAGTGCCAAGTCAGCTCATGCATTCACCCACGCCAACACACATCGACTGGACGCGCTGCTCCTCATGACTGTGTAGAGTTCGATCGAGTCTAGTAAGCATCTAGAGAGGGATTTTGCTGACCGGACGCGTCCGATTGTGAGTGACCGGACGCTCCTCGGTGTCTGTTCCTCTCTAGCCTTGTAGCACACCACCACGTCATCTATCATCAGCCTTGACTGAACGCGGGCCCTATGCGTCCGGTCACTTTCACTGTGCTATGTTCGGTGCTAAACCCTAAGTACTGCTGCCTCGCCACCACAGACCGGACGCATGGCCCAAGTCCGGTGGCTGCGTTCGGTCTAGGGAAAACAATCCCTCGACTTCACCAACATCACCACCCCTTGTTCAAATGTGCCAACCACCAAGTGTATCACCATGTGCATGTGTGTTAGCATATTTTCACAAACATTTTTCAAGGGTGTTAGCACTCACTAGAATCTAAATGCATATGCAATGAGTTAGAACATCTAGTGGCATTTTGATAACTGTATTTCAATATGAGTTTCACCCCTCTTAATAGTACAGTTATTGATCCAAAATGTGATCACACTCACTAAGTGTCTCGATCACCAAACTAAAAAGCTCCTATCAAAAATTACCTTTGCCTTGACCTTTTTATTTTTCTCTTTCTTCTTTTCCAAGTCCGAGCACTTGATCATCTCCATGGCCATCACCATCATGATCATCTCCATCTTGCTCCACCACTTGGAATATGCGTAACCTATCTTATTTTTGCTTTGATAAACTCAGTTAGCACTTAGGGTTTCATCAATTCACCAAAACCAAACTAGAGTTTTCAATAGACCACTTTTTACCATCAACAAAATGCCTTTTTAAGATGAATAACCACATGATCCATGTTTATAATGTTGAATAAAAGACCAAATGTACATATTCTAGAAGTACTAACGTGCAAGGACTCACACATGAAAAATAGGCCAATTTGGCCTTGGTAGTAGGTTGGCTGACCTAGGTGGGCTTCACTCGACCCTCCACTGAGGCCAAATCCACTCAAATTTGGCACAGAGGTTCCTTACATATCCTAAAGCTAGTGAGAAAGGTTTGGTGGGAAATGGGCTCCATGGAGGGTCGCTCAAAGTGGGCATACGCTCGATCGACCTGGACCTGGCCCCTCTGTCTCTCTAATTTCTCCACATGTGAGGACGAAAGTGTAAGAGAGGTGCTACATGTAATAAAGGCCCATTTCACGTGAGGAGTTAGGATATATAAGCTGATTTTTATGTGAGTGTTACACTACACACTATCAGAGAGGCCACCACATAGAAGCTCATCAGTGGAGGGTCAATCGATGCTCCACTTTCATAGAATCGCCTCAAACTTGGTCACATGCAAGAAGCACAATTTGGTGCAATCCAAGCCGCATGTGGGAGGTTAGTTTTGATAAAGACATCACACCTTCGGATACAAGACATGGAGATGAAGAGAACCAGCATGGGCGTCCAACTCATCCAAAGTCATGACGGAGGCGCAGTCTAACTCAAGTTGGAGTCCATTTCAGATTCTAGAAGCAGTCCCGGGTAAAATCGACGCCCATGACGTATATGGACTCCATTTTCAACGATCCACATATACATGGAAAGATAATTTCATAAGCTAACTAATGGATTTGGTTTGATGTCAAACTTCAACTAAAATCAACAAGAATCGTCTAAACAAATTGTAAGAAAAATGGACCCTTGGTCCATTTAGTTTGGATTTTGGTGTTTGATGATCAACACAACCAAATTGTACTAATATGTTTGCAAGTGTTTATTTTGTAGTCCAATGTCACACCCTAGGTTTTAGCAAGGCTATTAACATTAAAAATGAAATCATTAATTAGGTTAATGATTGGTTAAGCTGAGGCTTGTCGGGTTATGATCCCCGGATGTCTCAAGGCGTCGACTAGCCGGCAGGCCGGATGGCCCATGATACCAAAGCTAAGCTTGAGTCCGAACGACCGAGGCCCAACTAAGCCAAGCGGATCGGGCCAATCACTGAGGCCAAGGTTGGTCACGACCCCTTCCTTCTGCCTTAGCCGCATCCTACGCAGCAGCTCACGACCTCTCGCTGTCTTGACCCCTGGGAAGGGGCAGGAGAGACCAAGCCCACTGAGCATGCCTGCTCTAACAAGAGTAGGCACGCCGCACTAATCCCACAAGGACCAAGGGGACAACAATCACCTCGATTCGGTCAGACGCCATCCTTGCGCCACACAGCAGAGACAAGACAACACCGTCAAACGGTGATGGCAGGTACGGAGGACCACCATCTAAATACGGTCTGACAAGGCATTTGTATGATCCCACCCGCTACGGGATGGGATCCATGACGATGGCCTTGACTTAGAGATCATCCAAGCCAACATGGGCCATGACCCTAGAGCTCGGGATCATGGCCACCAACTCCACAAGCGCCAAACAATCGGCGACCAAGGGCGGCTACCTACTCTCGTACGATGCCCCCGGACAATCAGGAGGCGATGACGAAGACCATGGTGAGGCCACGTCATGCAGGACGGCTAGCAAAACACCACCGTGCCCATAGTGTTGCCATGACTAGCACTATGGCATCACTCCATGTCGCGACGTGAGCACAAGACCATGACGACAGCAACGCCAAGACGTGTACCACAAGATGACGTTACTTACAAGCCAAGTTAGCTAGGCCTCCTTCCTCAGGCTCACGACCCTTTGATCGGGAGAACCTCCTTCTTTATATGAATCCTGGCCCTGGACTCTATATAAGTGCAGCCAGGGCACCCCTCCGGGGGATGACTCTAAACATCTCCATTCTGATCGAGCTCTCAAAGCTTTTCTTCGAATAGCCCTTCTCCTAGCTCTAGCTCTCCTACCTCTTCCACCATTCTTGCACCCCCTATTGTAAGAACTTCAGAGCATTCAAGCGAGGAACACACACTCGATCATCTCTGAGGCTAGACGTAAGGCTCTGGCCTAAATCGGTATAAATCCTCATGTCTTTTGGATGCTACCATCTGAAAGGTCCTCGTGTGGTTTTGGTAATTGAGTGACAACCTAGGTGGACTAATTGTGTTTATGTGAGATACATAGGTGATTAGTCCATAGGAACATGTGTGTGAGCAACATATGCCATGAAGGTGAAAATGGCTCAGAGATGTTGCAAAGCTCATATATGTGATGATGAAGGAGCTCATTGAACATGAGACATGACATTGAGTTATGTGATCAAGGTGGAGAAGATCAAGACATGACTTGGCTTGATGGACTGGTTGCAAGCGTGAAGGGCAAGTTGGAGGCTTTGGAGCGATGGACTGCGTGGCGGTGAAGCTTGAGCAAGACTTGGCATCGATGGACGAAGGCAACGGTGAAAAGCAAGTGAAGTCAAGATCAATGAACCAATATGATCACGTGATGATATAAAGTGGATTATATCATTGTTGATCATGTTGGTGCATATGTTGCATCGACATTGGAGGAGATGGAATGGAATGCGCAAGGCAAAGGTATAACCTAGGGCATTTTATTTCATCGGTCATAGGTGTGTAGAGAAGTTGACGATCGAGTTTAGGATAGATGGCCATACTATCAAGAAGGGCAAACTTGTTTGCATATCGGTCATCTAGTGCCACTTGAGTGATCTAACTTTGCATCGTCGCTAGGTAAATAGTGGCGTGGCAAGTTGAGTGGCTAATCCTTCGAGAAATGATTGTGAAAATGCTAAGACACATACACATGGTGGTGTACACTTAGTGGTGTTGGCACATTTACAAAGGAGAAGAAGTTGGAGTTGATGTGGATCAACTCGGTAAAGAAAAGGGTTCGAAACTTCACCGGCGGGATGTCTGCCCGTAGAGTGTAGACAGTCCGACGGTGCCACCAGCGCCCTGTACAGAAAAGATAGAGTTTCACTGAGTGTACCAGACGCTAGTCACGCAGTGACCGGATGCTGGGATCCTACATCCGGTCAGTGGCGCGAAGTGAAGGCCGCCCTTAGTCTCTTGACCAGACATAGGTGACCGAACTCTGGTTGAACACTGTTCAGCATCCAGTCGTGCTGATGTGGCGGCGCACAAAGGAGACAGTGAGTGACCGGACGCTGGGTGAGTCTGGTCGGGCATGACCGGACACGTTCGGTCGCGAGTGGAACCAGGGTCCTAATGTGTTTTGCTGCCCAAATGTTGGTACATCCCCTTTCTGGAAAGGGGTAATGTGGGCCATGCAAGCTGCTCATATGGGCATTAAGTGGGTTATTGGTGATGGTAGGAAGATTAGGTTTTGGGAGGATTTATGGATAGGCAACACCAGTTTAGCTATGGCATATTGGCCTCTATACATAATTAATGAGCAGCAAGGAAAAACTGTTCATGAGGTCTGGGATGGGGAAAAATCTGATGTTAACTTTTAGAAGGAACTAGGTAGCATGCCCGTACATCGCTATGGGACAGCTAAATTTTTATACTAAAAATATACGGATCATACGATAAGATAACAATACTGCCAAAGGTATATCTTCAAACTTTCAAAGTTGATTCATTGACTCCAAAAGCCCAGATAAAGCTTATGTATAGATACCAAGTAGTAAAAAGCAGGATCTTATAGGAACATTCGGCAGCACAGGAACTTGCTACAGTACATCGAAATGATAGAGAAGCAGCTAAAAGGGTGCATGATTACATTATTGCAAGTGATGATGCAGTTTTTTACTGTAGTAGACTATTGTGGTCTGAATAATAATAGTAATAATTTGCAGGAAACTCGGTAGTTCTAGCAAAATTTTGATCGTACGTAAAACCTGACCATTTCGAGTTCCATACATGGAATCGGGTGGTAGCCTCTGCAGACAGCAATTGTCCAAGAGCTAGTATTCTGCAATCTTTTTCACGGAGTACGTCCCCAGGGCAGCACTGATGACACCCAATATTATGATACCAATGCTTGCAATTACCTGAAATTGGAGATTAAGAAGTAACCATATCAACGACCAAGTTTGCAAATTGCCACCGTAAAGAATACTTCCACCAGGTTTTCGGGGAAAAAAAAAGAATACTTCCACCAGTCAGTATCATCAGAGATCTCCAGTTGAGAGCCCGATATGCGGAGACGAAAATTCATTTTGTGATAACTGCAATTTGACGATCATATACCTGTGAACAAGTTGCTTTATTCTGTGCGATCTTCATGAAGCACAGGGCTGGCATTATGACTGCCTGTAATTATGAATAGTATACACCCCTTAACCACATTCTATAATAAAATATGATTAATCTATCATCCATGCCTCTTTCTTAGGTAACAAATGAAATAACAATGCATGGTATATCAGAAAGACAGTTTTGTCTGATAAGTTTGTAGACTGTTAATTGTAATAATGAAACAATGCATGGTACATCAGGGGGAAAACTAAACAAGACTACTATTCTCGTGAAACAGTTCAATATTTTTCAGAAGAATGATGTACCTGCAAGTTAGGAAATTTAGATATGAAGGCTAAGTGTCAATATTGGTCTTATAATTCTAGCATAGCAACCTTTATCTCAATAAGTTTGCCACTTTAGTCTCACAATACAGCTTAGTACAGTGATAAAAAACTTACCACAAGTATACTAAGAAGAGATCCAATGAGAGCCATCACAAGACCTGAAACACGAAGCAGATAGTTCAGAAATGCAGGGGTTCAGTCAAGACAGTGAACTGAGTTGTGGGATACAATATACAGAAAATTTTCAGGATAACAGAAGTAGACAGTGATGTGGGATGCACAATTGCAGAAAATGGGTGCATGCTTACCAAAGAACGGCAGAAGGAAAGCAATGCAGACAGTTGATGCAACAAGGGCAGTCCTCAGTATAATAGAGCACGATGTTTCGTTCATAAAACCTTCAGGACGCAGCTCTTCTAAACTTCGAGCTAATGGGTTTAACAAGGCATATCTGGTTGTAATTAAGGATGAAGCAATTCCACAAAGAGTTAGAATAATTAAAATCATGGCACTAAAATCAAAATGTTATCCTAGAAAACTGAAATTTCGAGGTTTTGATGATAAGGATACTTGATGAAAGGGTTGATCATCTGAAAACATACAAAAACATTACTGAGTAATATTATAGAAAATTCGTTTTAAAAATAATATAAAGAAAAATTTTCTGGAATTTGAGAAAGTAAACTTAGGTCAGAATGCAGTTGTTACCGTGGTCCATAGTGCAACTTTTGAGGCAACCAAATGTTTTGGAATGTTTAAAGTGATTTGTGATAAAGTGTTCTCTCCAAACATTAGAAAGCCAATGACAGCAAAAGAGCCATATATTACTGTGCATATTGCAAAAGTGCAAAACACCAGCACACCTTGAGAAAAATCATTATTCCATAATAAGGTAAACCTGAAACAGGAATCAGGCCAAACATACCATATGAACAGTGCCTTAGGGAACTTAGAGCGATCGGACATTGACGGATAGATATTTGGAAATACTGAATGCCCGGAGTAGCAAAATCCATAAATACCAATAGCAAAGGGCATGCCACTCCAGTTTACTACCTTCCCAGTTGAATGGAAGCCTATACCATCAGGAGCACCAACTAAACCAACGGACAGGAATACGAGAAGAGTTGCAATCACACCACCCGCTGCATGCATAATAATAATTAGTTAAAACCATGCAGTCACTTGATCCTTATTTTAAGATTACTAATAATACTTTGCAAAAATAAACAAATTATCATCAGTCGAACCTTAAACGACCATCTGTGTCCATGCATAATAATAATTAGTTAAAACCATGCACACATTTTGCAGCTTGCAGGTTGCAGCCATGAAACAACCATCTGTGTCCATACGAAGCAACAAACAATAGATGGTAAAGCTTACACTCTATAGTATGAAATCACGAATAGCAAACTTTAATGTAAGTATTACATCAATTCTCAAATGCAATATAAAATCTGAGAAATAATAGAACCTCATAGATGTCATCATCTAACCAGGCGGCATGATCCAGACTTCTCATAATCACACGCATCATCTCCCCACCAAGAACCATGGTAAACCTGGAAAAATATTATTTTGATCAAAACTTATACTATCTTTTACTAACTTAAACCACTACATCAATAACTTTGTACTATTGCTATATGTTTAGCTAGACACTAAAAGTAGTCAGGATCAAAATAGGCATATTTCCAGGCTCCATTCAAGAATAATAAATATGTTTGTACCATGAAGCAAGATTGAACTGTAAATAACTTGATATGCAGCTAATATAGGACTAACTCTATCTTAGCTAACCAACCTATGAGACAAATCAGTAAAGGAAACATGAAGTCAGTGTAAATCTATAGCAATCAATCAATTTAACTCTCTTTTTTTACATAGATTGTTTCATGTCCATGGATACATCAGACCTGACAAAACAAAATAATAGACAAGCGACTATAAACCTTTGAGTTAGCCATAAGTATGTCAAAGTCCAAAAATTATGTTATTCCTTTGCAAGACCATTTAACATGACTTATGCACGGGAATAGACTTAGAACAATAGTAAAAGTCATATAGGCACTTAGACTTCAGTTCAGAGGCAATGCTTCCTTCATAACATATGCTACCTTCCTACCCAAAAACAGATGTGCAATTTCATTTTCTCTATGTGCTTCCTATTGACAGATCTATTACCATACTCACCAAGTTCTATCATGAAAGTGATATTGCCGATGAGCAAGGCAAAAGTTAAAGGAATAAAAACTCTAGCTGTATAACACAACGATATCTTCAATCCCTTCTTTTGTATCTTGAGATTAAATATTAGCACAAAACAACATACATATGATTTTATTAGATTTTTCTTGGTTCACAAGAAGGGGTTGAAAAGAAATTGAAAAGTAGCTTAGCAGAAAATATGGATGACATACCAGGAACACAAAACTAGTGATGCAGCACAGGCATGGATCAGAACCAAAATCATTCCATATTGCAGTATTTCACAGATGAACATTCGAGCAACCAGAATGCGTTGAAGGAAAATGTATAGCAACAAATTGAAACTGTAGGTATTTGTGCATACAGGCCAACATCAGAGCAATAAACAATGATAGATTATCTATATCTATTACCTTTTAGTTATCCACACCTGCTTCATCTTCAAGTTTTAGAAGTTCTACAGCCAACAATAATCAATCAAAGGCAACCAGCTCCTTGATTGGAAGCAGTGCGGAAAGGGATTGGAAGTTCACTAATTCAGTAGAATTCCTACAAGTTATTTTTATATGCAAATGAAAAGACAGTAAGACAGGAAAATTACTGAAAAGAAGAAATGCACCAATCTAGATCATCTTGCCGAAGGCCCTAGCTGCCTCAAACCGCAACCGCATGCTGCTGCACCCGATTCACATACACACACGCATAGAAATAAAGATGAAGAAATGAACGAACAAAATCCTCATAACGAAAAGGGTAAAAGAACCAAAGCCAAGTCCACCTCTCTGAAAACAACATCAAGTTTTGCAAGTTGCATGGTGTGAAGTTAACAACACAAAGCAAATTAACATCTGGGTGTGCACATGTCCACATCAGATCTGGGTCCTCGGCTTTAGCACAGAAGGGAGAGCAGGGAAGAGGTGGGCATACCTGTTGGCTTCGCACGGGAGGGGCCGCACCCTAGAGGCGCGGCGGCCACGTCCGCCCCGCTCCACCGCGGGCTGGCTAGCCCAGTCGGGCGCCACCCCGAATGGCCACTGCGAGCTGGCTGGCTGCCCGCCGCCCCTGGTTGGCAGGTTGAAAGCCACGCACGGACCGCCTACGCCGCCGGGATGCTACGCAAAGACACCTGCGCCGCCTCTGCCTCCGGGATGCCTCGCGCCTCTAGCACCGGGACGCCGCGCCGCCTATGCCGCCGGGAAGGTGGCCTCGCGGGGCAGGGAAGGATGGTTTTGTGGGCAGCAGGGAAGGGCGAGCCACGGACGCGAGCGCGGGGCAGGGAAGGGCGAGCGGGGCGTGATCGGTGGATGTGATCTCGCAAGCGTGATTGGAGGATGTGGGAGCGAGCGCGCGGGGAGGAGGTCGCACGGAGCGCGCGGGGATGTGGTATCGCAGGAGGCGGCGGAGCGACGACCCACGTTTTTGTCGCACCAAAAAATGTCCATACTTTGTTCTTTTTAGTTGTAGGAGATGTATCAGCTAACACTATGAACCTTTGGTGGGAATTGTGTAATCTGGTTGAGTCAACCTCCCTCTCTGAAGAGGAAGATCATATTATATGGAGTTTCACGTCGACAGGTAAGTATTCAGTGCAGTCTTTGTATGGAGTTCCATTACCATGACCTAACTCAAATTATCTCTGCAAAAAACATGTTAGTCATAGTAATCTCATATCGTCTTTAATCACTAAAACCCAACTAGGGGCCTAGATGCTTTCAATCTCCCCTTTTGGTGATTGATGACAACACAACCTCAAGTATGTAAAAGAGATGAGTGAGGTTTTCAACATGCTTGGTTCATATAAGCTTTTGACAATAAGATCAATGGTGTTAGACATGCTTTTATGACCCAAGCCAACATGGTGTACTCAAAAGATATGAATTAAGCATGAGTACATGAAGTAAAGCTCATTTGAATCGGAGTAAAAAGCGGAAGCAAAGCAAATAAGCATAATCAAGTGACATGACATATATATATATATATATATAGAGAGCTCACATGTCACATAAGTCTCACCATCACATGTATATAATACAATGCATGAAAGTAAACATGAATGCACGAAGTATCACACACAAAAGACCAAAAGAAACAAATCGAGGCCATCTCACATGCTCCCCCTAGATCTAACATACTCGCTCCCTCTCTCCCTTTGGCGTCAAGCACCAAAACCTAAGGGTCGCACGCGCAAGATAGGAGCAGTTGAGTCGGGCGCTGAGGTGCGGTGAGAGATCTAAAACTGAGCTACATCATCCTCTGACCCTAAACTCTTAGTGGTCTGACCCTCTGTAGCTAGAAGTGAAGGTGAAGCGATCGGGGTCTGCTTAGTAACTGGCATGGCCTGTGACTCTGGAGGTGTTACTGTAGGAAGTGGAGCCACATCTGCCTCTATCGCTGTCGCTGAAGCCTAAAGTGTAGGAGTGACTGTCTGAGGTGGCTCGGATGATGCAACAAATGACATAATCGTCTCGGTAGTCCTAGTAAAGGAGCAACTGTGGTAGGGATAGGAACTTGGAACACTGGAGGTGTAGGCTACCCTATAAGCTCACTAAAAGTAGCTGAGACTCCTGGAGACTAGGGTGTCCGTCACTAACGCCGAAGAACTCTAAGTTGGAGTGAAGCCTATAACAATAGGAGTAAAGTGCGAACCTGCGTAGTCACTGGTGATGCAAACCACTGGGACACCTGCTCTGTAGGTGAAGCAAACTAAGTAGCTGGTTGTCTCTGACTCGGAAGCCCACTGGGCTGTACAGCTGGAGTCACTAGAGTGGTGGTGGCAGGCTGGCCTATCTGAGGTGTAGACTACTAAGGAGCAACCCCAATAGTAGTGAATACATGCTGCATGAAGCCAAGTAATTGCTACTGAATCATAAACTGCTGCTGCTGCAAGGCCTGCTGCTGCTGCTGAAACTCATCCTGTCGTGCCTGAACCTAAGCAAGTGCAGCTACGGTCTCCTATGCCTGGTCCTGTCTCATCTGCTCAAGTACTGCTAGAAGTGCTGGATCAGTCTGCGGCGGCTGTGGTGGAGCTGAGCTGGAGCCACTAGCCTCTCTGTCGTGTGGTCGAGGAGCCATCTGTGGAATCGACTGATAGTCATCAAGCTGCTCCTCCTCTGTCGCTGTAATGCCCCTAATGATCTCATCTTGCTGAGCTACTGTCTCTGGTACGTCTGGGCAATGGCTTGGCTGGCGAGGTGTCCTCGCACAACTATGACGTAGCATCTGGCTCATGTCATACTGTGGAAACTTAGTGGTAGCACCTATCCACTCTGCCATTGTCTCTGGAGACTTGTGTGTAACTGCCTTTTGGAATAGGAAAGTGATCCAATGAGCATAAGGCAGCTGACGATGACCTCTGAAGCCCTCTTCTAGTGTGTCCTCCATATCTGAAAGCATCACATCCCAAATATCAAAGACCTACTCTCCCTGCTGGGTGTCCTCTATTTGCTCTACAAGCTATGTCTGCTGCTCAGTCACCCCCTGAGTCTGACTCTCATTTGGACGAGGGGCCTCTGAAGCGTCCTCTAAAGAGACACGCCATCCTCCAAGCATGATAGTCCTAGGTGGACTACCAAAACTAGTCTCAATCCTCTCGACGGCGCCCTCTGAGCTGGTGACAACTGATCGCCTAGGCGAATGCCATCCCTAGATCCACCTCTCTCTGCATGCTCTACGGCGGCTGCCACTGCTGCTACTCTCTCTACCTCAACATCATCTCTCTTGCGCTTCTTCTTTGTAGTTGTTTTTGCCTTTCCTTTTTGCTGAGCAGTCAGGCGAGGCGGAGGCCTTGGATCCTCATCACTAGGACCACCCCTGGCATTCTTGCAACGTGTCATATCTAAAGCTAAGAAGAACCACTGACACTCAAGAGGCTTGGCCTCAATCCGTACTCGCGGGCTTGGCCCCGAGTTCTCTGACAACTGCCAAAACAACCACAAGAGCACTGACTCACTGCACGATGGAATAGATAGGAAATATAAATAATCACTCTATTCATCTAGAGGAGACAAACCCTAAGAAGCAAGCAGTAGATGAGAAATTGAAATTGATAGCTTGCTACCAGATGAAATCCGATGATTCGGCGACCAACAAGCAAAGGAGAGGATCATGGGGCACCACTCGGGATCGGCAAGGTTACGCCTAGGGCTAGGGTTTGGTGACACGAAGTAGAGCGGTAGCCGAGGAGACACGGCGCTGAGACGCGTGCGGCGGCTCGACAGCGCAATGCAGGCGTGGTAAAAGGTCCTAATATGGCTAGAGGCGGGGTGAATAGCCTATTTAAAAATCTACAAACCAACTAG